CAAACAGAGCACTTTCTAGAAAGGGCTGTATTGACATGATTCCATGTTGGAATTCTTTCTAAAGTAAATGGAGGTCTTGTGTGCGCATTTCACAATGGATTTCAAACTAGATAGAAGATATTTTAATATATACGCTAAAGAAAACTCTGCTTTCTGCTCCCAACTGTTCTCAAAGACTTCACAGCACTTCACCCCTGCATCCTAGTCTCCAGAAGCTGAAAGAAGGGTGGACTTCCCTGTCACAATCTCAAAGTATTGGCTGGGAGTCAGGGGAATGGGTAGGGGAGAACAAAATGTGAAGAGCCGTGAATGACTATCCCCTCTCTAGTCACTTTCTCACTCAGGGGTTATAGTTGTGTAACCCACCACCAGCATCACAGAAATAACAATAGGGTAGTTCCTGACAGCAGCAGTGAACTTTGACTCTCAACTCCCTCTCACATACCCTCAGGCATCCTAAGAGGATGATAACAACTGTATTGGTATTGCCTGCATAGAAGTGTGCTAAAGCCTTTGATAGTAACAGGGATCTTCTGTGGTCCTTTGAGCCTTGAAAGGGTGAAAAACAGCATGCAAAAGATGCTTTTATTCAGATGTACACTCTGGTGAATTCCTGGTCTATGTGAATTTCTGTGATGTTTCAAAATGTCTTTAACAATATCTTCTGCCTTTTCAATCTCCAGTGATACTTTGACACCTAATATTGTAACTGACATATTAACTAATGTCTATTCTGAATCTACACACATGAATATTTTAACAAATGTGGATTTGTAAACATCTATAAACTGGTAAACATGATTGCTCATGGTGACTAGCTTCAAAACTAAATTTGCCCTTCATTATGTGAAAAATACAGCATGGATTTATCTCATGACTATAATTTTTCTTTTATATTTCTTGAATTCAGCTTCAGTGGAATGCACAATATGTAAAGACATACTTTTGGAGTTTTTGGCCTTTGTTAAACTTTAATAAAATTGTTATAGCTAATATTTTTATTAGCATTAGCAAAATCTCTTTATCAGTAGAACCAAACTTTTAACATATCTACTTTCTTCTTCAAATGAATGATTTAAGAAAATTTATTTTACAAATTTATTTCATAAGCCTGTTGTAATGAGTGCTTAAGCAATTAACTAGACAAAATATTTTTAGTATATTTTAAGTAAAAAATAAATTATAGAATAGTTTCTATTTTTCATTTAAGTCACATATCACTGAATTCAAAACATTTAGTAATGCGTCAGACTGTGGGAATTAAGTCACATGTACTATAATATATGAAGTATTTGGGTACTTTATAGTGTAAACAAATTTATTTTTTGCACTAGGTTTAAATCAGCATGGCCGTTTGAAATTCAAAAACTGAGAAAAAAAATTATCAAATTAGTTCACTAAACAAATCACTGAACACACACACACACACACACACACACAATTAATCTAACAAAAAATCTGTTTTTTTTAATGTCTACATATTTTAAATTAATCAACATATTTCTTACCAGCTTCTCATTATAAAGTTTACTGGTACCATAATGGCAAATGAGCTAAAATAATTGACAAGATTTATATCTTTCTTACATACACATAGAGATAGTCTGCACATATATATGCACAAAAACAAATAAGCTTATCAAAATAGGTATATTAAGTAAGGTCACACAACTATCTTTCACTCTGAAAAAGTTGATGGCATCCCTGAGCAGCCAAATATGAGAGATTTATTTCTAATAATCTTCTTTACAAACTATTTCATGCAATTTAACAGATAACATTCCAGAAATATATATACCACCTAACTCATTTCTTAACTGCAAATGTGCTCACATGAATTAATTATAGAACTATAATGAAAATATGCATAATACAAATGTACTCTGGCATAAAGGATTCACTGATAAATCTCTATCATTGAGGCAAATTTCAAGAGAGTTCCAGAAAAACATCTACTTCTGCTTTACTGACTATGCCAAAGCCTTTGACTGTGTGGATCACAACAAACTGTGGAAAATTCTGAAAGAGATGGAATACCAGACTACCAGACCTGCCTCCTGAGAAATCTGTATGCAGGTCAAGAAGCAACAGTTAGAACTGGACATGGAAAAACAGATTGGTTCCAAATCGGGAAAGGAGTTACGTCAAGGCTGTATATTGTCACTGTGCTTATTTAACTCATATGCAGAGTACATCTTAAGAAACGCTGGGCTGGAAGAAGCACAAGCTGGAATCAAGATTGCCGGGAGAAATATCAATAACCTTAGATATGCAGATGAAACCACCCTTATGGCAGAAAGTGAAGAAGAACTAAAGAGCCTCTCGATGAAAGTGAAAGAGGAGACTGAAAAAGTTGGCTTAAAACTCAACATTGAGAAAACTAAGATCATGGCATCCGGTCCCATCATTTCATGACAAATAGATGGGGAAACAGTGGAAACAGTGGCTGACTTTACTTTTTGGGCTCCAAAATCACTGCAGATGGTGATTGCAGCCATGAAATTAAAAGACGCTTGCTCCTTGGAAAGAAAGTTATGACCAACCTAGACAAGCATATTAAAAAGCAGAGACATTACTTTGCCAACAAAGGTCCATCTAGTCAAGGCTATTGTTTTTCCAGTAGTCACGTATGGATGTGAGAGTTGGACTGTAAGAAGGCTGAGCACCGAAGAATTGATACTTTTGAACTGTGGTGTTGGAGAAGACTCTTGTTGGAGTTGGAGGAGTCCCTTGGACAGCAAGGGTCCAACCAGTCCATCCTAAAGGAAATCAGTCCTGAATATTCATTGGAAGGACTGATGCTGAAGCTGAAACTCCAATACTTTGGCCACCTGATGTGAAGAACTGACTCATTTGAAAAGACCCAGATGATGGGAAACATTGAAGGCAGGAGAAGGCGACGACAGAGGATGAGATGGTTAGATGGCATCACCGACCCAAGGGACACGAGTCTGAATAAGCTCCGGGATTTGGTGATGGACAGGGAGGCCTGGCGTGCTGCAGTCCATGGGGTCCCAAAGAGTTGCACTCACTGAGCAACTGAACTGAACTGAGGCAAATTTCCAGCTTTTGTCATTAGCAGCTAATCCATGCACATCAAGGAGAAATAATAATAATACTGCAGCTGGTTATAAATTATAATTTAGATCAATTGGTTGTCAATATAATTGATCAATCAATCCTGATTGATCTTTTTGCTTTTTATCTTGTATATTTAAGTCAGGTTATTTTGAGATATATTAGTAACAATATTAAATATAGAGATGCACTGATTAATCAACCAACCATAGTTTTTATAAATGTACATCTTTACATTAACAAAACCAATACATTTTAAACAAATTTGCTATATTACAATATAAAAGACAAATTCTTCTTCCTCCTTTTCCATACAACATTAACGAAGCATACATTATATCGCTGCCTAGTTGGAATAAATCATTTTTAAATCCCGAGTGTGTGTTTCTGTTATGAGTACATGTGAATGCATGTGCTAATGGAACATACATATCCAGTTCCATCAGCACTTCTAATAGTAGCATATGTAGGCATTTGTTTTTCATTTAGCTGGCAAAACCTAAATACTTAGAGATAATGCAGAAAGTAATAAGAACAATTTTTTGTTTGCTATCTTCCCTTTATATCATACAGGACAAACATGAGTAGAAACAGACAAATTCCAACTTTAGATACTATAGCATGTAAATGTTTCCACCAGGCAAATTGTCAAGACAAACTGGATAACATCAGTGAAAGTAGCTCTATACTTTCTTAGCTACAAAACTAGAAAGAGAAAATCTTGATACAAGAGACCTCTAGATAAAAACCACAATTTTTTAGCCAAAGGCAACTCCTCTCTCTTCCCCAAAATGCCTAATCAGCTAATTTCTAAATGGCATAAGTCAACCATAAACTGTAGACTCTTCTCTACTCTTTACTCTCATCCTTGGTCAAATGATTTGAAATTTAACTTTTTAATGCACAAATGATGAACAAACATCTAAAACATTATTCAAAGTTTAATAAAGAAAAACAGTCTCCATCCAGATAGTTTATACAGACACTCAGAAAGATAGTGATTACATAATTTAGAAAACAGAGTTTTTCCAAAAGCAGAGTGGAGTTAAATAAATGTTCCAAATTTTCATTTATGCTATTACTAATATATTAGAAATAATTCCACTGATAGAAGTAACCTAATTTTCAGTTAAGCCAAATAATGCTATCCAACAGGAAATGGGAACCCACTCCAGTATCTTTCTCTGGAGAATCCCATGGACGGAGGAGCCTGGCGGGCTGTAGTCCAAGGGGTCACAAAGACTGGGACAGGACTGAAGCAATTTAGCAACCCATTAACAATTCAAAAGCACTGAGTCAGTAAATGGCAGTGACCTCAGATTCCATAATCACAACTCAAACTTCACTAACTTGTAAGTGTTTACTTCATCAACCCTAAATACAAATAACACAGACATAACATACAGAAGAAAAAATAGTTTCCATTAAGTTTTTGCAATAAGAAAAATAAGCTGCTTCTTTTTTTTTCATGTAAAATATGAACAAGATAACCATATTAAATTAAGAAATGGTAAAAAGGCAATTATATAAGGAATTATAAATAATTCCAAACTCTACACATAATTTACCAATTACAAGTTTAAGGATAGTAATATTTACTCATCAAAAATGTTCTTCAGGAGAGATTTATCATACTTTTTGAGATGTCATAAAAAACTAACCCTTTAGATAATCACACAACCATCTTTAAAATTCATGGGGACAGGCAATTTTTTAAAATGGAGACATTCATTAACACATTTAGAAATGTTGGGTGATTCATTCTTCTAGTAAAATATCCAATAATTAAATACGTTACTTAAATATTATTGTGAGATATACACTTTAATAAGTACCACACCTAGGAAAAGCAGCACATTTGGAAATTTAAAATGTCCAAATATTCTTTCACAAATCTTATTTGTATTTTATTATTGTCTTACCTCAATGATTTTGTCATGAATTTCCAGGCCATCTGCTCTATCAGCAGGTCCATTTTTCAAAATTTTTGAAACATAAATGCCTTCCATTGGTGTTTCTTCTTGATTATTCTATTAAAAATAAAACCGTTAGCAGTGAGAAAGATGTGAATGAAATTTTAAGCTAGATAAAAAAACAATTTAGTAAATGCAACATTGTCAAACCTCCCTAAACATGCAACTCTCTTTCTAAAATGGAGAGTTTATATTGAACTATAACTTACTTAACACCAACTAGTCATTAATCAAGATGGCAGCTTTAGTAAAGGAATCCCACATCTTTGACAAGATTATCTATTTACCTCCTATTTTTGAGTGGAATGTGAAGTCAAGTGTGCCTTAGGAAGCATCACTACAAACAAAGCTAGTGGAGGTGATGGAATTTCAATTGAGCTATTTCAAATCCTAAAAGATGATGCTGTAAAAGTGCTGCACTCAACATGCCAGCAAATTTTGAAAACTCAGCAGTGGCCACAGAACTGGAAAAGGTCAGTTTTCATTCCAATCCCTAAGAAAGGCAATCCCAAAGAATGCTCCAACTACCGCACAATTGTACTCATCTCACACGCTAGTAAAGTAATGCTCAAAATTCTCCAAGCCAGGCTTCAGCAATAGGTGAACCGTGAACTTCCAGATGTTCAAACTGGTTTTAGAAAAGGCAGAGGAACCAGAGATCAAATTGCCAAAATCCTCTGGATCATCAAAAAAGCAAGAGAGTTCCAGAAAAACATTTATTTCTATTTTATTGACTATGCCAAAGCCTTTGACTGTGTGAATCACAATAAACTGTGGAAAATTCTGAAAGAGATGGGAATACTAGACCACCTGACCTGCCACTTGAGAAATCTGTATGCAGGTCAGGAAGCAACAGTTAGAACTGGATGTGGAAAAACAGACTGGTTCCAAATAGGGAAAGGAGTATGTCAGGCTGTATATTGTCACCCTGCTTATTTAACTTATATGCAGAGTACATCATGAGAAATGCTGGGCTGCAAGAAGCACAAGCTGGAATCAAGATTGTCTGGAGAAATATTAGTAACCTCAGATATGCAGATGACACCACCCTTATGGCAGAAAGTGAAGAACAACTAAAGAGCCTCTTGATGAAAGTGAAAGAGGTGAGTGAAAATGTTGGCTTAAAACTCAACATTCAGAAAACTAAGATCATGGCATCCAGTCCCATCACTTCATGGCAAATAGATGGGGAAATAGTGGAAACAGTGGCTGACTTTATCTTTCTGAGCTCCAAAATCACTGTAGATGGTGACTGCAGCCATGAAATTAAGACACTTGCTCCTTGGAAGAAAAGTTATGACCAACCTAGTCAGCATATTAAAAATCAGAGACATTACTTTGCCAACAAAGGTCCATCTGGTCAAGGCTATGGTTTTTCCAGTGGTCATGTATGGATGTGACAGTTGGACTATAAAGAAAGCCGAGCACCGAAGAATTGATGGTTTGAACTGTGGTGTTGGAAAAGACTCTTGACAGTCCCTTGGACAGCAAGGAGATCCAACCAGTCCATCCTAAAGGAGATCAGTCCTTGGTGTTCATTGGAAGGACTGATGCTGAAGGTGAAACTCCAATACTTTGGCCACCTGATGCGAAGAGCTGACTCATTTAAAAAGACCCTGATGCTGGGAAAGATTGAGGGCAGGAGGAGAAGGGGATGACAGAAGATGAAATGGTTGGATAGCATCACTGACTCAATGGACATGGGTTTGTGTGGACTCTGGAAGTTGGTGATGGACAGGGAAGCCTGGTGTGCTGCAGTTCATGGGGTCGCAAAGAATCGGACACGACTGAGCAACTGAACTAAACTGAACTGACATGAAAACTGTGTGGAAAGCCATGTATAAAGTGACAACAGTGGGCTTCTATGTATCGTTTATAAGAGGTGTAGCAATTAAAAGGACTCTAAGTTAAAGGAAATGAAAAGCATATCCAGCCTCACTATATCATTGGTTTGAGTGGTGGTCATAGTTCTAAAAATATAACTTATCCTCACAATGGGACACATTTGGAAATATAGCTCTGACTGTATCTATTCACAGGGGAAACCACTTACTCAAGTGTAAAATTCTAAAAGATCAACTCCAAATTTCAGTGGCTTCCTGGAATGGATTCCAGGTACAGTGAGTCTGATAATAAGTTAAACCTCAAACACATAGTCAGTATCATACATAGAAAGCATTTTAGTGAGTCACAGAAAACCAATAACTCATTTAGGGAAAATGCCCAACATCCTATAATAATATATCATTCTAAATGTCATTTCACTTTCTGGCAGGTTAAATAAAATCATTTATCCTTTATTAGCCTTCTTTAACATGAATTTTAAGAGGCTCTTGAAAATGTCCAGTTTTATCTAAATGTCAAACACCTAACTAGCATTTATAAAAATATTACTTAGGGGAAAAAAACCAAAATGATATCCTAAAAAGACTTCTACCTTTTCATAATAAAAGGGAATGCTTCTAGAAACAGAAGCATAGCGGTCATTAGTTGCTAGGTTTTCAAGATGCTAAATAAAAGGAGGAAATGTGTCATTGCCACCCTGGCCTGAACACAGCATATGGCCAACAATGTTCAGTTTCCATGGACAACATCTGCAATGCAGGACACAAAACTTTCACGACAGCTGATTTGGGAAATTGAAAGAATATGACTTTTTAAAACCTTCGTCACCTCTCCTAAGAGAGGATGAAAATTAAGCTGATATAGTATTTGAAGGATAAGAAAGAACTTTGCAGCTACACTATTTATTATGAGTTTATAAACTCATGCATTTTGAAAACAATTGCATCGGTGTAGAAAAAAGTATTCATTCAATTAAATAAGGGATTTGATTTGGGGAGTCAAAATTATGTCAAATCAACTATCTTTTCTAAGCATGGTATTTTCTATGAAACTGTGAAAACAACTATCCCTTATTTCAACTCATTTTAACTCTTCATTCATTCGAGATAAAATTACTGGTCTGTGTTAGCATCTGAAAATTGATCAATTTGACACAATAAATAAGAGTTATGAACAGGTAATATACCTAAGATTATCAAGCAGAAATTGCCTATACATTTTTGTGAAATAGACTTATTCAAGAAAGTTGCCAACAGGGCTATACAATGTAGACAAAATGTGAAATGTACTCTTTTTCTTTTTTAAGTATCAAAGTTAACTGTTGTTTTGTCTTATTTTTCTCAAAAAAAGTCTCACCATGTTCTGGAATATTTACACTGTAATATTTGCGATTAAGGAATCTGATACTGTATGACAAACAGTATTTTAAAGAATAAACCACCTTTTTTTTTTTTTTTACTCAAAATCCACAAATGAAAGCTAAGTCTTCTATTATTTTATAAACAAGGAACGAGTTATGCATTAACAAGATCAGTTACCTGATTTGGTCGACCTCCTATAATATTGAATCCCAAAGTGTCATTTTCTCTTTCTAATACAATAGTGAGTGGCTTATGTTCTCCTTCCTAGAAAAAAAAGGATAAAAAAAGGATAAAATAACTAACTAGTTAAATATATGAAAGAAAAAAAGCAAATGCTACAAAAATTTTTTTAAAGTAAAAAAATTAAATTTGGAAAAGAGAAAATCTTAAAGTTTTAAAGGTAAGGATGGCTGAATTCTCAAGATTAATTTCTTCCTAAGTTTAAACTGAAAGTATGCATTTGAAGGAACAACCATGGATGTAAGAAAAATAACTATTTCCAAAAATGGCTAAATGGCTGTGCATTTTTACACATGCAGCTTTTATCCTAATGTAGCATCTAATTCTGAGTCCACTGTAATTTAAAATAGATTTCTGATTCAACTCTACAGGTATCTGTGTTTTTCCTCTCCATTATAGATGAGTAAAGTAAATTATTAAATAATCTAAGAATTATTTTATGGAAAAATTTCACTTTGGAAAGTCTTGAGGGATGTAAAGGATATTTAAAAATTTATATATATAATCTATTATTTATAAGTTTCTTTCAACAGAAATATTCAGATTGCTATTGAAATACAGGGTCTTGTAGGTTATAGTAATCCTAATTTTAAATGGTGTTTTATTTGGTTTTGCAGAATTTTAAAAAGAGAGAAAGGATTTGTGTTAACAAAAGCAGTATGCATTGCTTTCCTGATGGCCAAATAATAGTTACACAAATAGGAATTATATCTACAATATCTGCTTATTAATAAAGACCAATTTAAACATAAGATGAAATAGTACAAGCCTATGAGTTTTATTCATGGTTATGGATATTATTAACTACCCAAGGAAATTACACATTTGGTAATTACTCTGGAATGATGAATTTCCATAAACCTCGTCACCACTACTGCCATCATCACCACTTTTTCTCAGGAGCTTTTCCCAGGCAGTGTGCACAGCAGCCCCTACTGGTAGAGGCAAAATATTTCTGAGCAGCATAGAGAAGCCTTTTGGTAGTCTACAGATCTCCCTTAGTTTGGTAAGTAGATACAGATCTTGCTCAGTTCTTCCTCACTTCTCAGAACCACAGCCTGACTTGTTGCAGGGACTTCTCTGTCATATAATCTAGCCTTGCTCCTTTCCACCAACCATTGCTTCCCCAAGACCTTGCACCCTTAACCAGTATTACAGACCATAATTCTGTGCTTCTCTCTGGTCTTCCCATTTTACAAATTTAACTAGATGTAGATACAATAGAGAAAGTAATGTAATAGAATCCAATCTTTTAATAAGGGTGTACTTCTGTTTATCAGACTAGATACAGCGCAGCCCCTCATCCTTCAATTATCCTTTTTTAGGTTCAAGGACAGAAGCTTCTAAACTTGGTCCCTGAGCTTGAGGCAGTGCAAAGCAGTCCTAGATGGGCATCCTCCTGGGTTGCTCCTCCCCAGGAGGCTGGGGAATGAAAACAGCTTCTTGAACGGAGTGTAAGTTCTGCTAAATCTCTGCTCACCATGGCAGCGACCAACAATGTCAAACACTGTGCAGAAGTCGTTCAGAAGAGAAGGAACAGCTTTATAAACAGGCCTCTTCTCACCAGCCGCTCCAAGGAGGCTTGTTTATTCGGTCGGAAAGTGGGCAGTCCAGGAACACAGTTCAAGGCCAGACGCCTCGACAAAGAAATGAAACAGCCCAGGAGCTCATCGGGCTAATCTGAGCGCAGATGGATGTGAGCTCCTGACTTGGTTCCCCAAGTCTCACACTCACACGCGCAACATGCCGCTAGTAATGAAATCCGGAAGCACAGAAGGACTATTTAGGGAAGGTTAGAGTGATGAAAATAACCCGGTAGGTCTAAGAAATCTCATCTCTTCATTTCTTAACTCCAAGTGATCCTGTTTTCCCGCATCCCTCAGAGTCCCTGTGCTGAGTAGAAGGTGGCTGATCCCGGCGGTTTGGGAGAAACTGTCATTCAGACCTAAAGGCGTGAGGCTGACTGACGCCCTGGGATGCTCGCCAGCGCAGAGGGGAGGCAGAGTCAGAGAGGTCCTCGTTTCCTGGCTTTCCTCCTCAAACTGGCTTCAGGAAAAGGCCAAAGGTGCAAAAAAAAAAAAAAAAAAAAAAAAAAAAAAAAAAAAAGAGGAGAGGCTAGGGCAGGAGAGTGAAAGATGTGGAGCAAGGATCTGGTGGGAAAATGAGTTTTATTAATTCCTCCTTCTCCACCGAGAAGTTGGAATTGAAGCTGTTTACTTCTTCCAATCCCAGTATAAGGGAAAGGGGAGAGTCTTCGTTGACTGCAATACTAAAACACAACACCGATAAGAGTATTGGATGATCAGAGCGGTGGAGGCTTCCCACTGCATGAGGAAGGATGGCACCTTGCAATGGAATCTTGAGTGCCAGAAAGCACTGTTCCCCTTTCCACCCCGATGGATCATTCCCCGGAGCCCCATCCCTCAGCGCTTACCAGGTCGTGGCCGCCACCCAGGTCCCTGACGAAGTTGCGGACGTGAGCCATGTACTGGGTCAACTTCTCCTGGTACCTGCGGGCGGTGAGCCGCACCTCGCCCCGCAGCTCCCAGAGCTGCGCTAGCAGAGCCTTCTCGCGTCGCCTCCAGACTCGAGGCCCGGGCGCCCTACAGCTCCGGCCGCTGACGCCCGGCGACCCCCCGCGTGCGCCCCCGCCCCCGCCGCGGCGGATCCCGGGCGCTGAGCGGCAGCTCCCCCGCACCGACCGGTCCCCACTGCCTGGGCCGTCCGGCCGGGAAGCGCTGCCCCGGTGGCGGCGGCGGGCAGGGCCGAAGTCGCAGCGTTCGACGTGCGCCGCCAGCTCGCTCAGCTGCACGGAGCGGCCGCAGCCGCGGGGGCGGTAGTCGCACTGGATCCGCAGCTTTTGGACGAGGCTGCGCAGAGGCAGCACCCGGTACAGCTCGCCCGGCGCCAGGGGCCGGCACTGCAGCGGGCACCGGCGCCGCCGCGCCGCCCAGGGCCGCAGACAGCCGGCGCAGAAGACGTGCCCGCACGGCGTGCACAGGGGCTCCTCCAGCACCTGGCCGCACACTCTGCACTGGAAATCTGGGTCCACCGATTCGGCGAAGCGCTCCAGGGCAAAGCCCATGGTGCGGATGGGGGAGAAGGGGGCACGAATGCGGGGTCCACCTTCTCCGAGCCCCCTGTCTCCCCCGAGCTACCACAGGGGCAGTGCTCTAGCTGCGAAGGTTCGTCGGAGGGGAGAGGAAGGGGTGAGGGGGAGTGATCTCAGAGTTTGTTTGGCTTGAAGTTTGCTGGCTCCGACTCGGTCCCCTGATTCTGCCGTATTGACACGAATAGACGCCACCTCCAGTGGATCCCCGTCTCCCCAGTTCCCCCAGCTCCTTCTCCTCTTCCCTCTCCCCCCTCCGCCAATCTGCGTACTCCTTCGCTGTTCGCTGCTCTGCAGTTTATATTACTTCAGATTTTGTCAGAGGAGAGCTGAGGTCGGATTACAGCGATCCGTTGGAAAGCTGTGGACCCCTTTGCCCGAATAGTGAACTTCAAGTAGTCCTTGGATAGAGCTGGCACTGCACAGTGCGGGCGTTGAGAAAGACGTCAACCCCACCAGAATGCAAGGTCCCTCCCGGAGAGCAGGTCTGTTGTCGGGTTTTCCGCTAAGTCTTCATCGCCAGGCATTCAGTCGTTCTTCAATAAATGTGTTTGAGGTCGATGAGCTTCTGTGCTTTCAAATCCACAACAAAATCATCCGCTAAGTGGCTGCGCCGGAAGGAAATCACTCTGAAGTATCTACAGAGCCAGGCTTCTGAAATCACGATCCAGAAATCAGGTGAGTGTAAGAGAGGCGGGATGTCGACTGACAACAAAGCCCGGGAAATGGCCAGGTGCTCGCCTTAGCACACCTCCCGCTTAGCGAGAATTTGAATCGCCATTCAAGATCCTCTGCGGCCGGAGGACGCTAGGATTCTGTTACCAGAGAGTCTGACTCCAAGTTCAAGCACCATGCCATCCGTCTTCTACTTCCGCAAGCATTTTACCACTGGGAACGGGAATGTGATCATTTGGGCACCTGAAAAGGAGAATTAAAGGAAAGGATTATGAAAGAAAGCAGTGAAATAACAGAAATAAAATTGTAATGACCAATTTCCCCTACTTACCTTGAAAATACAGTTTAGATCCAAACTGCCCCCTTCCTCCAGTTTGACTCGTCATAGTGTGTTGCAAGCAGGCCTTAGATGTCACATGAAGTAAGGGAACCCTCCAGGCCCTCCTACCCCAGCTTCCGTCCCCAGCTTCTGAACCTTAGGAATGCAAAGCAATCCAGTCGCCAGGATAACACCACTTACTGCCATTTATCCTGAAGTTACTTCCACATAACTTAGGATGAGCTTCCTAAAGTACTCACTGATTGACTCCTCACTGTTTCCAGAAATTTATGTACTTGATATAGTGCCAAAATGTATCAATTGAAACACGTGAAAGAGGCTCCAGACTTTGTCCTTTAAATCCTTGACACCAACTAAAGAATTAGCAAAGGCTAATTGCAGAGGCTAATAAGAATTTTCTGAGCCGTTTTTCTGTTTGAAAGAGGAGACTACATTAGAATAATTCAGTAGCAAGTGAGGATCCTGGGATGCGTTGCCAAATATCTGATATGTTTTTAAACTTGTTTCAAAACAAGATAATTTTATTTGTACAGATATGATAAGGTAACATTTGCCACAGTGCTCTACATTCCTCTCACCCTTGGCCAAGTAAGTAAACAATAAATTTCTGAATAAATAAAAAATCATTTAACATTAACAGCATGAACATATTCTTGGGAACTGGGTAAATCAGGAAAAGCATAAAGTTATAAAATGTATTCAAATAATTCTGAGCAAGAGGCATCTATTCCATCTTTTTAAGCTATTGAAAAAGCTGTGACTTATAGATGTGACTTTATGGATAGGACTTGGCAATTATTGTTTTACAATAGAAACAATGGCAATAGGAACCTTTTAAAAAAGTGAATATGAACAGATGGAATCTAAAAATATTCTAGAAAAATACTAGAAAATGAGACTTGCAGTTACTTGAAAAGAAAGAAATAAAACAATGATTACATAATGCACTTGGTCCATCCATGCAATTCTTAACAACAAAAGTTAGAAACATGAATAGGTTATGGTATGAGTTTTTCAGGTTATATAATGTTTTGATTGCTAAAGGGAAGATGGATGTCAAAGACCGTGTCCACAGAGAATAACAAGTTCAAAAATGAGAACATGTAAAGTGAAGCCAAGTAACAAAGTAGGCCAAAAGTGAACTAGGGAAATCTTTTAATTTTGAGAACATGCAAGCTTGAGTGTTTCCAAAAGAGTTAAGTACCAGGAGAAAAACATTACGAGTTAAACCCTAAAGTAATGGACACACTTAACATGAACCCCATGGATTCTTCCCATCTGAAAATGTTGCAACATAATAAAGGTATGACATCAGTGGAGCCAAATAGTCTGATTTCACTTCACAGACTGCAAAAAATTATTCCATATATAAGAAAAATAGTCATATCTAAGGAAAGCTTGGGGGAGATAGAAACATGAAGCTGAATTAGATTGAGGTAATTAACTGAGGTAAGCAAAGGAAGCATTTGGAATAAGTTTAAAATAGAGTATGCAAAATAAAATAAAATAGAGTATGCACTATATTTCAGCAAAACTGATTCAGTAGTATTTAAGTCTTTTGGCAAATGAGACAAATTAGTGCCTTGCATCATTAGTTTGTGCATATCCTTATGTTTTCACTATCATAATTTTCTTTTAAGAGTGGCTGGTTAGTGAAGTTTGCAGGCTGAATAGCAATACTGTAGGAAGAGCTGAAAGGCAAGCCCTTGTCTTCTTTCTTGTCTAGCTATCCTGTTGGTTGTAGCCAAGTCTTAAGCTTTCTTTCAGACTGAACTTGAGAATATGAATGGGCAACTGAGAGACAGGGAAAGACAAGACATAGACCTAGTTTGTCACTAAGCTAAGGGCTCTGGCTTGATTCAAAATATCTTTAAATAGTTGGTATTTGGTTGGGTATTTTCAGCTTAAGAACTAGTTTTTCCTTCAATTCACTGTCAGGAATCATATTCATGTAAGCCGATTAAAAAATCAACTTGCTATTTTCTTTGGGTCAATTTCTAGAGCAGTAATGAAAAATAAAGTATGCCTATAGGTGTTTTTAGTGAAAAGAGGCAGGGTTCCAACCCAGTTCTGAGTCATCCTTACTTTCAGGGATGAATAGGGAGTCAGAGAGTTACTTATTGTTAAGTCAAATGTTAAAAGACCTAATACTGAAATACTATATTCCAAGACTCACAAATGATGAATGGAGATGTGAAAAATAAGGAAGAGATATTTTCCACTCCATGCAAAGATAATATTTTTGCAACTCATTTGTGATTTTTGTCATGTTGTCTTATGAATTTGATTAAGAATTGTGAAATCAGGAAACTTGAAGAAATTTTTTCAAAGAAAAAATTAAAAAGTCATGTATTTCATATGTTTATATAGCATAATTTGTACTTCTAACACAAGAGTAATTTTTTACATCTTCTATTATAAGAACTGGAAATCTCATCATTTATATTTTCTTTTCTCTGACTCTCTAGTCATTTATCATTAACTAATTTCATGGTCTATAATCAAATACATTTTCCCAAATTTATGGATAAAGGAGCCTGGCAGACTACAGCCCATGGGGAGCAAGAGTCGGACATGACTTAGTGACTAAACAACAAAATAAAACTATATAATATTATTCTGATAGATAAGATAAAAATAGCCAGCTGCTTTATATCAGTATTAATGAAACAAACATTCATTTTTGTTCTTGATAGTTTTGCAGCATGACTTAGGATCAGGATTGTATCTAGTAGCATAAATAAATATGTTCATAAAGCATAAGATAATAAAAAGGTCAATGTAGGGATAGAGCAAATTAGCCAAGATGGCAGTGGTCAGGCTTTCATTCTTGCATCATGTTCCCCAGATGCATGGTTATGTAACAGCTGTGATTGCTTATAGCACTGAACATGCACATCACAATGTACCTGATTGGCCATGGGCCACTTTTGTTCTGTAAGCATATATAAGCTCCACCTGAAAAAGCCCTGTGGCTACATTATTGCTGTGTCCTCTGGCTCAACCACAAGAGGAGAGAATACAGTGTCTGCTGCTATGGCTGGCGCACCCACCATTAGAGAATAAACACGTCTGCAGTTCCCATGACTCCTTGAGTTTTCTCCCAGCTTCCACTCTCCCGTCTTGCCTGCCCTGGGTTCAGCAAACAGTATGCACAGTGAGGAACAGCAAGACTGTCACCTTCAAGGTGACTAGTTAAAAATTCCAAACTTGATAAAAGCGAGAGATGCTTTAAAGTTGAAGTTTTGAAAGTCCTAAACGTTTAAAACAAGGTAGGTATTTTTAGAAGATATGCTGATTACATGATATGCCAGATGAGAGATACTCTGTGATATATTTTACTCATCGGTAAATAGAGAATTGGTTACGCTCAGAGAACAGAGAGCTCTACAAGTCTTTCCAATCCCTGTCTTTAGGAGTTATTTGCCATTATCTTGCTTTTGGGCTACCTTTGGCAAAATAAAGAGCTAGAAGCAACATCATGACAATACAGGATGCCATTTTTAAGAGGAATAACGTGATATGAACAAAGCTATTATGCATTCCAAATACAGTAGGAGATTTACAGTAATTGTGCAGTCTCTATGGAAATAACTTGTCAGACAAAAGTGAAATGGAGAATTTGAAGAAAAGCAATCAATCTAGACAGCATATTAAAAAGCAGAGACATTACTTTGCCAACAAATGTCTGTCTGGTCAAAGCTTTGATTTTTCCAGTAGTCATGTATGGATGTAAGAGTTGGACTATAAAGAAGTTTGAGTGCCCAAGAATTGATGATTTTGAACTGTGGTATTGAGACTCTTGAGAGTCCCTTAAAATGCAAGGAGATCCAACCAGTCCATCCTAAAGGAAATCAGTCCTGAATATTCATTGGAAGGACTGATGCTGAAGCTGAGACTCCAGTACTTTGGCTACCTGATGCAAAAAACTGACTCATTTGAAAAGACCCTGATTCTGGGA